CTGTTTCAGAAAAATTCATTATTTCAGCGCTATATCTCAAAAAGCCAAAAATCGTTTTGAAAAAATTAGCTCAAGGTGACTACACCGCAGGATTGGTTTAGGTTGAACAGACGGATACGGAGGCACGCACACACGGACATTCGGTTTTAGAAGTACAGTAAATAGGCAAATCTGTTATGGAGGGTAAATTCTAAAAAGGGGCAAACAACGGCAAAACGGAGCATGACGTTATTATTTTTGATGGTCAACGTTAGCAGACTTGCCATATTTTTAATATAACACTGATAAGGAATTTAAGTCGATTTTTAGATCGCAATTAGCACAAAAAATATTTAGTCGAAGTAATATTAAGGAATCTCAACCAGCGTTCTCGCAGTATTGCTAGACGTACCCTAATCGAACGGGATTTGTGACAACAATTGATTATACGTGCAAATAAAACCAATAGAAATAAAATGTGCACCATACGAATCGAAATGGCATTGGGATTCATCTAAAAAGTACTTTCCATGGCAAATGTATGGCAAATGTGGACGCAAGTCAACCTAAACCTATAACCAAATATCAATTGTCATTATATCTAGATTGCTAACTGCTATGACTGTACTATAAGTTTAACCTTACACGAATAACACTGGTGAGACCGCATCTGATGAGTCAAAAAAGCCAATAAGTCAAACAGTACGACATTTATAATACGGTCTCATTCTCACATCTACTGACCAGTCCTGTTAAATTTTCATTAATGTACACAACTATCGTCAACTCAATGCACAAGGTAAGGATGATACTGCTGGTTGTTCACCTGTTAATACAAGTTGTGCGACGGGTGGAGATACAGAAAATTATCGGTAATCGTTTGCCGCTAAAATGCTGCAAGTCAACAGACGAACGCGCCCTCCGTCGAACATGGTACACGCGGTGTAAAACAGCAGCGGTATCGTGACGTTTCTTCTCATAATATTACTTTCCCTAAACACCAATGCGCTAGTACGCCTTTTTCAAGTCTCGGTTAACAACGGTCAACGCGGAGAAGACCGTAGAGAAAAAGGCGCACAATACCATGAGCGTCGTACTGTAGTGTACTGTTGTGAGCATTTACGATGATGGCGTGGCGTCGTTACGCTGGTTGGGAAGATCTCGGCGACATGCAGTAACGCAAACAACGCTCAACCTTCGTGATTGTGAGATAGACATTTTTTTCTGCAAATAATAAATGCTTATCACCAACAGGATTTACGTAGTACGATTACCTATCAAGGATCACGTACACTTACCAGATCTAGTTATACTCCGTAACATGTGTGATTAAAAAAATTAAGTTTTCATTAATGTACCCGAAAGCTCCACAAGACCTATTTAATATGGTGCTAAACAGGTCAATGTTTGCTGCAGTGATTCGTTATAATATTACAACATATTTTTATTTGTTATATGGTAAAAATAACTTTTCCTATTTAAGGAAAATGCGGGCATATGCTGATGTGAACTTCTCGCCTGGTCGACTACGTGTCACACACATAAACTAACTAGAAGCTTGCTTAAGCTACGCTTGGCTGTGTGGCCATAAATAACACCAGATAAAAAAAATATACAGATATTAAGGATCACCGAAAGGATTCTATATCAAGCTGATTTACAGATTTCTTCATGAATTAAAGCCACTGGATAAAACCAGACAGTACAATATTCGCCTCTTGTTGGTGCAGTGGTAACGCGCTTGTCTCCCAAAAGCTTAGAACACGTGGTGATGTCGTCGGTATGCGCCTATTTCGTGCTGCACTGAGAGGCGCCGGCCGTCTAAAACAATGCATAATGGCTCAAGTACCGGACGGAAATGTTCAAATTGCAATTTTGAAAAATCACTACTCGATAACCTTCAACATGCTTGTTTATTGTATAGGCTGCTACGAGACTCGTCTAAGAGCTACTAGCCTCAATTTCGATTCCCGTTAGACGCTATGATAGGTTAACGATTTCATCTCATGAGATTAACGTCCTTATAGATATCCATATACCGCATGTTAACAGGCTACCTAAACTTGTCACTGGTAGAAGTTTTTCTAGCACCTAGCTTCCGCTGTTTGAGCAGCTCTCAGCAAGGCCCACCCATGACGCTGGCACGGCGTGACAAGCTGAAAGCAAGTAAAGCTGGTTCCATTTCCTGCTATGCCTGGGCTTCCAAATCGCTTACTACCGAAGAATTACGTCGTCTTCAAAAACACGGACTGTAAGGTGCGTCCTGCTTAGTATCAGATGTTCAGTAGCTTTTAGCGTCCTATCCTTATGTACAACGGATTAAAATACCCTGTATTTCATGCCATGTTCTATCGATGGCTTCGCTACGCTCGCCACTTGAATATATATTAGCAAATACAAAATGTCTCTATGGGGACGTACGATATGGTCAACACTGTTCCTCCGATATTTTACTTTGTGTATCTGGTTTGGATGAGCTTAGTTTACCTGTGTTCGTCGCCCCCACGTAGAGTTCACGTTATGCTTCATTTTTCAAGATGGAATATATATTTATATGTTCTTAGTCGTGGAGGTTAACAAAAGGGATTTAGTAATGCCAAGGACAGAATACAAAGAGCGATTAGTCACGCGGACCCATGTTATCCAAGATAATCGATAGCTTATTTTGTAGCTGTATCTTCTGCATTTTGTTTCTGTCATAGAAATATATCGAGGGCTATATACATCAGATCTAACCGCGTGGCCAGTCTCGAAGCCATCTGTTTAAGTTCTTGCCGATAGCGATGCTTTCTTGGGACGGCGAAAAAATCAAAAATGAACTTTCTGGATTGTACAAACGTCATTACCTCAGCCTAACCACACTGGCGTCCACGTCGGAACTAGAACTAGATTAGTCTATAAATCGTTCTCTAGCTTTCTTGAGCTTTGTTGAACTCCTACAGTACCAAACAGCAGATCATATTCGTCAGATGCACGTTGCGTTGAATTTGACAGCAATATCAAATAATCAACACGCAGCAGCTCCGATTACGAAAAGGGACACTTTATCATGCTAAAGCCTAATCCACCAGCTTAGATAGTCAGCAAAAATGTCGAACGGCCAGTATCGGACGAATGACCATGGGCCTACACCAATAACGATAATGGAAGCCTCATTGCTCTGTTTTAGAATATGTACAACTGAGGGCCATCATAAAATTACACACTCTAGCCTGCACAATCCCATCAAGCTTATGCAAATACCATAGCTTTGCCTGCTAACTTACCTGGCACCCTTTTCTAAGTTAAATACTGTCAATATATGAAATATTATATGCTATTTGATACTGTCACTAAAATCCCATTTACGCTATGACTATTAGTCATTATAATGTTTCTAACAAATATGCTCTCGATCGAAAAGATGACAATAAGTACTGTGAAACTCGATGGAAAAATTGATAAAGCATGTTTAAATAAATGACATTGAAGTGAGCCTGAAATGCTTCAAAAGTGACTGTTAGGGCTGTATTTTTGGGCTAAGTTATATCATAAGATTCATACACAACTTGTGTTGAACTAATTATACACATAATGTAACAGCTAATATCAGAGGTAAGCGAAAAAGGTGACTTTTATTTGTCAGCCTAGTCATCGAATTAATGCATATGGTTAGATATATACATATGAGGGCGAAGGCCAATAGTATATAACTACAAATACGTTTGTTTCCAGCGGAACATGTGTTATATTGAATGATGTCATGTGATACCAAGCGTGACAGACAGAAAAATAATAGCTAAGGTTAGCCTTGCTAGCAAACGCTATGTTTTTTGTTTGATTTGTACATCTGTGGGACCTCATGACGATGCGGCGTTAGTATTTGCTTAATAAGCTTACGATCGCCTGGTGGTCTGAATTCTGTGTGCTGGTAATTGCGCCAACCATGTAAAGAAATGATTGATGTCAGTGATGGATGTAAAGCTCTAAACCTTTATTTGTACGTCTGTGTACATGTTGGTGTCAATTTCCACAGTTGTGAACACCGTCGTGATATGCATGGCGCGTACGAAGATGCTACTGGGCGTTGCCTCCTTTTGGCAATACGGTTACTTTCAATATGAATGAACGGCCCCCTTTATGTAGACTTCAATGTAAATTTGGTCAGGCGAACAAATTGTGCGGTAAAATTCTTACAAAAAAAAGTAGTCATCTCAAACCCTTTGACTTGGGCCCTGTCAACAGCGATCACCATTGTACATCATTGCGCCTGCAGTGAAAATAACAATGATGACAATGACAACCGCCACAATCAAACAGGCAGACATTAAATACTTATCCTGAGATGATGTTTACTAGTTGCACTATTTAATTGTTGCTATACGAATAAAAATTGACCATTAAACTGCAAAGCGTAATGAAACGTGTACGACAAAATTCATAGTTGTCAGTATAGTGCTCTTTAACGACAGTGTGGCGGCGGCGGCGGCAAAAACTCTGTGTCTCTGAACGCGGTCGGCGTTAATGAAGGCGTTGTTTTTACTCTGTTTTTTGGCATGAAAACGTAGGTTTAAATTTACTTCTATTGTTACTTCTTTCTTTATCACGGGCTTTTGACTGGCATTGAGATCAATTTTCTAGATATTCCTTGTGGAAAAAAAGGGCACGATTCTGTCAAGATAATAAATTCTTGACAAATATTGAAATGTATGTGATATCAAGCGCTACAATTTTAACACGCAGACTCCTAACAGATTTTGAACAAAAAGCATCCAAAAAAAACAACTCCAAAATGTGCTCCAGATCGGGTAGACAGCATTAGCGCTAATAAATATAGCAAGCAAAAAATAAATAATACTTGTAAATAAACACATGTAAAAGAGGTAAATTTGTATAATCGCATCATTTTTTACCATTCATCCTTCTCAGAACAGACGGCAAAGGGTCCTTTCTCTTTAGGATTCAAGTTAAATTATAACGGGTACTTGTGAAAGGTATTGGGTCCATTAGTCCTTTATTTTAGCATATTCTTACCTATTAGAGGTTTGTACGGTAAAAATTATCATTCTTTAAACTAGTAAACAAATGTTCCAAATAACACTCTCACAAGCTTACAAGTGCAGTAGACAATGTTTTTATTTTTGTCATTTATCTTTATTATCAATAGTCATCATCGCCATTACCATCTTTTGCCAATACATCATTGCGATTAGACTATAGGTTACTTCAACTCATTCATCGCATTATTTTTTTAGCGTTCATCCTTCTCAGAACAGATGGCAAAAAGACTTTTCTCACCACAGTTTCTATTATTTATTTTTTGATAATAACACTATTGAATGGTGGTTCTACCTTTGACGCCATTGTGCTTCGCAGTGTTGTTGTAGTTGGGTATAGGCTCTCGCTAACGTGGGCTTATAATAGCTATTTGATTTCCTTTACATAAGATCCACCGGGTTTTGTATTTCGGCGATCGACATCACTCGTGGTAATTCAATTAGCCCAATGTTTCTCTTTGTAAGAAAATTTGTTGCTTATAATTAAGCTTGCCAGGGATATCTTTTCTTCGAACGCTGCAAAACTAACAAAGTGTTTTTGTTATCAGGGGCGTGATTGCGCTTATATCCTTTATTTGTTGTATCCATCGCATACGGTCCTAACATTACCTACATCGTCCTCTCTTGTTGATCATCGATTAACTCTAAATATTTATCCCATATTTTTAGAATTATTGACGTAATCGATAGTTCTCAATCTCGTTTGCACTGTCCACTGATGAGTCACTGTCGTTTTTTTTTGTTTTGAAATATAATATAGAAATTATATGCCGAACTGCTAAAACCTCTATTAGTTGATGACACTCATTCGTATAATAATAATAATGATAATTCTGTGTAACTATTCATAGTGTAATTTTCTCCGACACAATGCCGCTTTGCGGTTTACTGCTGCTCATGTATGTTTACGCGTTGCATCTAATTCAGTTTGTTGTCACCTACTAGTTCTGTTAGTTATTAAGATCGCGTCGTTTTCGATTTCGTATTTTTTATTTCCTAATACGAGTTTGTTTAACCATGATAATATTAATCAGCCACTATATACATTACATTTTTCGATCGGCTTCCGCTATGACAGCAGAAACGGTCTCATACCTGCAGGTCAACTACCGTTACTATTATTTGATATATACTCTTCGTATATTTTCAATGGGATTAGCATTGGTAAACATCAACAGCTCGATAACAACCACGGAGCAACTGCTAAATACCATTATCGCAATTTTTCTTATCTATAATGGATTAGTTGGGGACTGACGAGATTTTTAAATTAACTCTTATTTTTGTAGATGGATGCTAATTATTGGAATGGCAACAAAGATCCCCGATTAGCTTCCTTTTTATCAGAAGCTACTAGATTGGTGTTCAGCTAAGCGATTGGTGCTCTCGCGTCTGATATCGATGTAACTGTTGACGGATTTTATTCATTATAATTCCCTTTTAAAATTTGGCATAGGAGAGCAAACAACAGATGAAAAATAATTTAAAGAAATGTAATTGCAGTATTTTAACGTATGCTTAGTGTGCAACAACGCTAATCAAAATTCTATTCTTTGTTTCATATTGACTGTTTTTTAACTATCGTCAAAAGACTGCGCATTTTTCACTAAATGATCTTTAGCACTGGTTAATACCTCCTTTGTGGAAAGAAGGTATTCCCCTATTGTCTGCATATGGTGGTTGTTTATTCTCCTACGCCTAATTTTCATTCTTATCTTACGCCCATTTTCTTATGCATATATCACATCGTATATTAATTAGATACGGGAGTAAACAAAGGACTTAACGTTATGCTTAAAACAGAACTTAATTACTACACCTGCTTAATAGCGGCAGATATTTTTCTCTAATTAGATATTATAGTTAAAATCGAGCAGGCGGAAATGGAGAGGGAAGCACAAACGTAAGGCAAATGTTCAGTTTAATCTTATGACAAAAAAAAGAGTGAAATGAAGCTATAGGTTTCCAGTATACGCGGATAGATTATTGTTCGTTGTGGTCCTAAATTTGACTTTATATTTCTGTTTTTATATACGTTCATGTTATCTGTTTGTATATAATTGCTAGGTTGGCTGCTTTCTCCAGCGTATTTTATTCGTGCCTAACTACAGACGCGCTCTCGTTTATCTGTACACGCATTCATACACGCACAACGACACTCAACCGTAATTCACTCGCAGAAATGGTAATATATAGGAAATATGTATAGAAAACAAATAAGCTATTATGACTGTTATACAGGGGATAGTGATTAATAATAATATTTAAAAACTGAACTAATGCTGACTCTGTTACTGCATCGTAGTTTGCTGCTTTTCTTCCAAATAACAGCGATTTTAATACAAAAGTCATGGATTTTTTCATATCGTACCCATTTTTCATGTTGTTTTATTGAAAACTTATGCAAGTTTCTTAGGGTTGCTAACGTTGTTGAGGAGGACGTTCCACGCTGTTTGTAAAAACTTATTCGCACATACCGTCAATGGTGTGCGTACCTTATCTGTTGATAATCAAGCCATTTAGAATTTACGGGGATGCGCATAACATTAATAAACTACACAAGACGTCTACCGCGCGTAAAGATACGCTATATATGCGATTTACGCCAAATCTATTCGTCATTTGTTGAATGCTTTCCAGTTCCTATTGTAACTAACAGGCGAAATGCAGATTCATCGAGGATAACTCGTCATTTTGACTCCTTTTTTTTTAACACATTAACGATGGTTACTTTCATTTTGTTATTACTGTAATTACTTTATTGTTACTGCTTTGTTGGTTTTGATAATATGTCATTAATAACAGTGATTGTAGCAGCTCATCTTGTATTACAAAATAAAATGGGTCCCGGCTTCAGCTTTTATTTGGCCAGTACACTATTTACGTGATCATATCGTCATTATAATAATAAACATGTGTTTTTGTCAATATTATCCATCCTTTGCATTAATTGTCGTAACCCTACGAATCAATCGTCAACGGTTGTTTTCTGTACTCTCTTCGTCAAAATTATTGAACTAATTAATAATAATGGAAATAAAGATATCTGTCTACAATGATCCTCCATTTTTCGACCAATAGACGTACGCCCAGTCACACACGCACACACTTCGAACTTCGTAATTAAATCCTCGTTAACATTATCAATTCTTCATCATGCCTATTTGACACTACTCTCTTGCTCGCAGCCCACTGGTTCCTCTTCTTTGCTTGCTTTCTGCACGTTTTTAAATGTTACCTCTCCTATTCAATTCACATACTCCAGCCTAAATATTTACGAATCTATTTACGAATCCTTATCTATTTCTTATTTATATATTTATATATATTTAGTATAATGCTCTTTTCATCTTCGTAGATAACAGCAAATACGCCACTTAAATATGGCAGCGTCAGCAGTTCCAACGTATGTGACGCATGTGTACCTCCCGCGTTTGTGTTCTTGTCTTCCTTGTCCTATTTATTTCTTACTGAATTGAATGAACCTTTAATCTTTTGCTTTGTTTTGTAATACTAGCACTGCGTCTCTACTTTAGTAACTAATAACAGAAAATGAAATGCCAACCACGTTCGACAAATGGTACAAATACCTATTAATTGAGCTTAATTATCGCCCCGGTCTAAATTTACTTTTAGAAGCAGCATAATTATGATTTCAGACACTTCAGCCAATTGTTTCCGATTTTCTCATCAAAATTTGGATTACAAGTTTGCCCTGAACCCATGACTTTTGAAGAATCGACCTAAACAAAAGGAAGCCCCAACTTCATTTTCCTCTACCGATGCTGCGTGACTGATGCTATCTTGAATTGTGAAACACATTATCTTAGAATATCCCATCGTATCTTAGCCAGACAGAGCCCACAAATGGTGTCCGATCTTATAAACAATAGTATGTGTGACGAAGAAACCCATTTCCCGGGTCGTTCAGTTGTACTGCCATTGATACTTTTGCGATCGATCGACCTCACAGCCCACTAGGGCGGTCTTTCTGACAACGATCTTCTGTTAGTTTTAATAAATTCTTTTAAAAAAATCACTTTCGCCCTTTTATGGTGTCACATGCCGGCATACTCCCTCTTTAACCACAACCAGCCGACGTACCCGTCACTCATTTGTGAGGCATATGATGGTGGCATATATATTCAAATCTATATAGATATTGTACTCAATTCTTCCTCATAGACAGTAACTATTATTAACAGTACAACTAACCAAGCCCCTTTCTGCCATCACGGCTAAGCACTCCACATTCGTTGAGATGCTGAAGAAATGACTTCATCATATGGATCTTCATCCGTTTTTTATACATGCGACAATTATCTACCATTTTTCTTATGATTACTTTTCTTAATAGATATTCGATTCTGCTAGTTCTTGATCTAGGCTTGTCCCATTGCATGCGCGTAATTTGTCCATGTTTGTCTGTATGCTATGGTGGAGTATACAGTACTATTTTTCTTAGAATCGCGCTCTTCCTCGAAAAATCTCGTCGTCCTTTATGACACCGATTTCCCGTCATCGGCTGTTGCTCTTTTTTTCCAGTTGCTTCTTCCTGCTCATAATGCCTCATGAAATATCAGGATTGTTTCATTTTTTTCTCTTTGTTTTCTTTTACTTTTAATGACATATCAAACCGCTGGTCAGACAACGCGTCCTTCAAGCAATTTTCGCGTTGCTAATCTTTCAAATTAAATTCTGTACTCTATTTATGCATAAAGGAGACTATCCCCACGGACCTCGTGACTTGGCCTTTTCGCGCAATTATTTGTCATTCGCATTGTATCTAAGGCAACAATTAGTAATTTATCCTGTGTTACACTCAGGTTGATGAAAGATAGCAGATTCGCCAGCCTTTTCCGTACACACAAAACCATAAAGACAAAAAGCGAAAACTCTTTTTCCCATTCGAGACCTCACATGCGTGTTGTGCCATTAATTATTGAAAAACTGACGTCGAGGTTCTCTAGGATCACGGCACACTACCGACATAATAACGAGATAGGCAGGAAGGCAAAGCGAGTTTGGGAGAGTACAATTTGCGCGAGCCGCTTCTTGCGTCTTTGGCTATCTACGAGCAGTATGACGGAGCCCCGGCGCGGTCGTCTGCAAATCGTCGATGGATCTGATCCTGCGTGAAGCGGACAAAGGCGTCATACTGTTCAGCCAACTTGTCATTGAGTACGCGGTCGTAATGCTGACGGAGTTCGTCTTCACGCTCGCGAAGCATTCGTTCACAGATCAGGTTGACCTAAAGAAAAAAAGTCACCGTCAGTTACATAACTTTAAAAATACCAAAATTGCAGGAATAGTATAAAGATGAATGAAAAATGATTTGTCGAGTGAAAACAGTAAATGACACCGAGCAGTAACGATATATACAAAGAAGTACTATATATTCAATTGCTTTCTCAAAGCGCTGCTAGAACACTATTGACGAGAAGTTATCTCTGCTTCAATATCAATAGCCAATTAACATAATATAAATTGTTACCTATTGAAGTATATTACTTCAGTAGGTTCGAAGTGTGATTATGACACAGAATCAATATGAGGAATAATTTCCGCGCATCCAACAAATTACTTACTGTTATTATAAATTATATAAAAATTATGTGTAACTCATTATTATTATCGTAATTTATTTCATATGAAAATCACGACTCATTTTTTTACATTTTATTTTTACAATATATGACGCAGGTAAGATTTAAAAACCTTTAGGAAAGATCAAGATTCTCGTTTCTATTGCTTCAATAAATTCCCTCGTTTAACGCTGTCTTTACCTGTTTAAAGGTGAAGAGTGGACAGGTAGACGAACTGCTTCCAGATAAACCCGCTACTGCGGCAGAAGAGCTTGCGCTGTTTCCGCTACTCGTTGGCGATGAAGGCGGTGAGTTTGAATCGCAGATCTGACCAAAAGGAAGTTGCTTTCGTTTCTGTAATCGGCGTACTTCGTTGCATACGGAACTTGCAATCAGTTCTGAAAATTAAAACCATCACTCAGGTGATCTAACTAAATAGTATAAAATTTTAGCAATTAGTAACAAGGTCCTCAAGCTCAAGTAACTTGACCCCTTGTAGCTTTCCTTTGAATAGCCTATTGAAACAAAATAATGGGTAAGGGTCGTTTGTATCTTATTATTTATTATGGGATGTGATAAAACCTAATCAAATCCAATAATGAATGGTTTCAACAAAAAAAAAGAAAACATTTGCCGATAGTCGGCAACTAGACGGGGCCGTTGGCTTCGCCCAGTGCCTGCTTTGCGCTGATAATTAAAAGTAATTTGTTTATGTTATACCTGGCATAATGTAAACAGTTCTTTTAACCTGTTATCCTTTGACAGCTATTCCATTAATTTGTTCTACAATGAACGGATATGATTTTTTTTTGTCTAGCCTAACTTCCAAATTGACATTCAAAATTTGCTCAAAAGTCGAGGAGCATGCTGGAGCTCATGTTGGCTGAACTTCATCACATGAACTCGTTCTATGAGTTTACTCAAGATTCACTATCATCTCATTGTTTCATTGGTGAAACGATACGATCAATCGGATTTTCTGCCTCTTTTACTCCAAAGTATCGATTTTTAGTATAGGAATATAAATAGCATTTCTCATCAAGATCTATCGATTACGGCAACAAGGTATTGTTGGACCACCAGTATATAAATATTGGCTCCTATTGTTTCAGATCTTTTGGAACTAAAATCTAGTTTACAGAAGTGCCTTAACTTTCTCATACACATATTTAAGGTATTAACTAGAACCTAAACACGCGATTTTTTTAAAACAGATCCTTGGTCGGCCGGACACCACCAACGTAAGAAACTTATCTACGCTACACCGAGCCAAAAATACTGCGTTCGATTTAGAGTCACGTTGCAATTCAAGATTCTGCACCAATGTTTGATTCCTTTATTTCGTTACAGGTAAATGCTACAGTAATTCAATTTTTCTGATTCAGTCTGTTAGCACCATTCATATTTTTGCAGTTACCCTGCACATTCTCTTACTAATGCCTTTTAACAGTCTTCCTGCCGCTTTGCAACTATCCCACCAGTCTGCTCTTATACTTAACTCGTGTTGTACCTCAATTCAATCTATACTAAAACCTACACTTTAAAACACTCGGTTTTTTAATACCCCGTTGTGTTTATTCTGCTTCCTCGTTGCAACTCTTCAAATAATTATATTTGTCAATCTAGTCAATTTTTTACTTAAGATTAATGAACTTGTCAGTTTTGTACAGTTATTCTGCCACATTGGATCCCTTTCTGAAATGATTGTGCTTTTCTGTCAGGTTATTTTTTCGTAAAAAATAAATAAAAAACTGAATTCAATTTCAGAATTAACCATATGTAATAATACAGAAATTTTACTCAACATATAAATGTGCAAGCAACCCTAGCCTGAGATCTAGAGCAGATTTTATGTTTTTATGAAGTTATAATTCAATAGAAGAATACGTATCGTCTATTCATATATACACTAAAGTGTTAAGGTTTTATAAAGCATTACGCATATTATCGAAGTTAGCATTACGTCCCCGCCCTAAAAAAGAAACTTCGATATCTTCAGCGGTTATATAGCAAATCGTCAAAAAACTGAGGTAAAACTATGCGTTACAGGTAAAAAGGAAACTACCTTTTAGGGAAAACGTATTAGCCCAATCGGTCCCTTTTACGCACTGCTCTACTCAGGATAAAGCCCTAGCTCCCCTTTAAATTCCGCCCAATCCCATATTCTACGATGTATATTTAATCGATACGGATAGACTAAAGTTACCTTTTGCACTTCGTCCATAAACATATATGTAATCGTCGCGTTAAACATATATATATATATATATATATATATATATATATATATATATATATAACAGAGCAACGGCTCTTAATAGCTTCCTTCGCAATTTAAACATCTTTGTCACGTAACACTTATGTAGTCAATCGGCTTTATATTCCGCATAGATATTCCCATGAGGCACGCAACAAAAAATGCCATTTTCAACTTAATCCGTCCACTAAACCCCAGACTCGGTCGTATATATATATATAAATATATATATACTGCTCGACAATCCGAGTAGAGTTACGATAATTTAACCAACAGGGCTCAGATAACAAACGCTCGTGCATTCTGCAAGAAAATTCCAATGCAATGAAAAAAGTTCCCACAAGCATACCTAAACCTCGCTTGTCTAATAGAGATCACGCGTTCGAAGTGTCTTAAGTACGGTTGTGAGAACTCATCAGAAGAAAAACAAGAACCTCTATTACCTTGGAAGTATGACCCCACAAACAATGGTATCAAGCTCTACGATTTTGTCAAGCACTAAGAATTCTTATAATCTTGAGCTTCCACGTCAAATAATTCAAAATACTCAAACCTTTCGTACTTTTTGTCTGGGCTTAGTTAGAAAACTGATCTAGATTAAACCAACGCCACTTTTTTTCAGTAACTCCAGGGAGCTACGGTTCACGCAGCAACTGTAATCATATCACGCGATCCTCCGATATCTCCGATATAAAGGTTAATACATAAAGACTTCAAAGCAGAGGCCATTTAAAAAAATTAGACTAGACGAAACTAGACTAGCGACTAGACGTTTCTTCGACGTCACCTATTCTCCTACCAACAGTCAACCACCGATTATATTCGAGATTGGGGACCTCTTCTTAGAATTCGAATTTAATAAAGAAGTGTTAATAACGAACAAACTTGAATTTATCACTGTTAAAGGAAACCGTAGTTTTCCATTAGTGACACATTAAAGTGCACGCTATTTTGTAATGTCTACCGCATTTAAAATTTTTTTGAACATTTGAATGAAAAACATAAGTACATGCTTATACTGCGCATTTCAATGTCTCGTCTATTGTGTTTTTATTATTGTGACGCTTATATTATAAATGAAACAGACGATTATTCCGTTTCATATTTGCCGTTTCGCAGTTTATGTTATAAACTGCGAAACGGCAAACAGCAGTTGCTATTGATTGTTCCCCACTAAAGGCATTAACAAATGCCTAGAACAGACCCACTGTAACTACAATGTGTCTATCTTTTTAATATTCATATAGGCAGCCATCATTGTTTTTGGCTGTTCTTATATCATTTACAGATTCTTCGAAACTTTGTAGGACTACAGAACGATACCTACCACTTGTGAGCTTAGGTGCAGCGTCCTGGAACGCCGACGGCGTCATGGCTTGCTGCCGGTCAAGATATTGTTGCCTCGAAGACCCCATTGCCAAGGAACTACCGGCCATGATTCGTCGGGCACGTTTTGCTGGCCTAGGGCTCATCGCATGGGGCCCTGCCCCAAGAGGATCCCACTCGAGGTGTCGCTTTAGAGTGGCGCACGCCATTGTACTGTGCTTAAGAAACCAACTAAGCAGCAACAGCACCTAGATGCAATGCAAGAAATTTTAATACGGGCGCAACACAATTCACCGCGACCACAACCACTTCACAGCACAACGCACAACCCGCACGCGAATGGCTGTCGTAGTAGCAGAACAATGCTTGCGACCAATGCGTGACGGGCGAAACCAATAGCGAATCCGGAGAGCAATCTTCAGCAAGGAGATAGTCACAGTCGAGCCTTAAGTCTTTTCTTCTCCCAGTTAGGCTTTTCTTGATTCCACCAAGCACCTGGACGCACAACACACTAAAAAAGCAGTCTTCGTTTTCGTTATGCACTCACGCTCGGGTCGGCCAGAAGCTACTGTTATTGTTGGGCGCTTGATAATGCGGGGGAAGCTGGTTTTCGCTGCAAGCGCTGTCGCTTACTTCGACCGTCGACGGCAAGACGACGTGCATCCAATGCGTATAAGCACGCGTTCACGACAAAAGCCAAATTTGCCGTGGAACAATCCAGCCTTGCCTTGTCTCATCGGCTAATTGCACTAATTTAAGGGATCGGTTGTGGATTTTCAGCTGTGAAGTGCCTTTCTAGCATATAAAATAGCACAAACAGACAAACACTCACTCTTGTCCAAGCAGCAAGATGGCTGCCCAGCTGTGGGTTGTTAGATCACTTAATAGTCGCTCCTCCCGGTAAATTTGTTCGGCGGCAGTTGACGGCTTTGTTGGCGTACGTTGAGGGAACTTAATGTTCTAGTCTCACGAGGTGTCTAGATCGCTGAGCTTTAGCGTGCCAAAGGGCTGGTTGCTTTTCGTTTACGCTCGCTCTGCTGTGCACAGCTTCTGCCTAAAGCGCAGATGAACGCGTTGTAGGCCTGTGCGTGCTTCCTGCAACCGATCGTCGTTAGGCAGGATTCAACGGCAACGGGCGATGCCTAAACTGAAGTTTTCTCACAGGCGATGACAGCAAGACACTGAAACACACGCAATCGCCCTTTAAGAGTCAATCAGTCAGACTTCTAGGCGGCGCCCACTTCCACACAACACTAGCCACCAGGACACCAAGCAAGCGCTAATCACAGCCAGTTGTCTCCGCAAGGGCCTATACGCTTCTGCCTAGGATAGTCAAGAAAGTAAGACCGTGGACACCCAACACACAGGCACACAACCATCAACAGCAGTAGGTAAAATGGCCGTTGTAAACAAGATGGCGACCCGCGAGCATTTGAATATGTTCATCGTCCCCATTATTATACAGCTGAATCTTATGCGCATCTGATCGTCTCTACGAATGTGCTACTGAATGTGCCGCTACATTGCTTTAATGAGTTTGGGATGGAGTTGCAAGAATAAAGTGTACGGAATGAGCAATAAATTTTGCTAGCGGGCACTGCGGTTACACTTTGCTGCCAATAATATAGCAAAGGATATTAAACTTCGTACATAAGTTCTCAAAAGCTAGATTCTAAATAAGTAAAAAGCATTTATGGAGTAGTTTTTGAGTTTTGTAGTAAGTAAAAGTTTTGTAAACCCCATTTTTTATGTTATGCTAATTCTGATTTTTTAATTTGGAGAGTAGAAGTTACTAGTGGCAGAAAGAAAGTTTAACAAACTAGCACTGTTTGAAAAATATTATGTATAGTGAGGGCTAAGGCAGAGTTCAATTAAAGAAAACGAAGTTTACGATGTTATAACAAACATGGAGATTATCCATACCATCCTAATTTTTTTTTTGTAACACTCAGGTTTGTGAGGTGTTTCCTGCTGGTTCTTTATTTATTTTGCAAATAAAAAATATATGCTTTTTCTCTAAGTATGAAATCAATTTTTTCTACATTTTCAGGCCATTTTCCTGTAAACTGAGGACTTCTTTATCTTTTTTCTTACCTACCTTTTTATAATACATATCTTTTTTCAAAAATTTTTCTTTTAATTGCCTCTGCTATATTCCTTACGAAAACATCAGACTTTGGTTCGTTACTGGCAGTGTTTTGTGGCAGATTTATTTAGATTCTTTTTATTTTTTTGTGTCATGTGACTAATGTGTGTTATATTAAAACTGAAAGCTTTTATTTGGTTATAACTATGTTTCTATAATTGTTTTGTGTGTTATGTGACTAATGTGTGTTATGTTAAAACTGAAAGTTTTTATTTGGTTATAACTATGTTTCTATAATTTTACGTATATAGAGATTTTTAGAAAGTGCATGAACCTCTAGTATGGTGTTAGTCTCGAAAAAAAATTATCAGGCTGCGGATTAACTGAAAAGATAATTTTTTTTATTTAATTCATGTTTGCCGCTTAGATATCTCCAAGGCACGTTTAGTTGACTAAAATTGCGTCTATGCAGGGAACTGTGTGCCAGAAAAAAAAGTGGCCAAAATGAAACTCTGTTATACTGTACTGTACCTACGCAGAATTTTATCACCCATAAATTTAGTCGTTGGCTGAAGTATCATACACCTGATGTATGTTAGGCACCTTAATACCACTGAGTTGGAATTCAAACAAAAATCGACTTATAGACCCACTTCAAATATTATGGAAAATACGACGGATACGCACTAGAATAAATCAATATAATAATGGTAGATAGTATATACTCTGTAGATCTGTAGCTAAAAGGCTAACCCCAGTATCCACGGCTCGTAGGTGTCGGAATTGGTGCTGGTTACTGCTAAACGCCCAATTCAAGCAAAACAAAGAAATATTTGAGCAAAATAAGAAAGCACATTTGTTTGATACCTGAACCAAAGAAGTGGTGATTACGAAAATACTTTCTGAGCCGTAACTTCTACTTCTGTTACAGTAAAACTACCGATGCACTTTTCTGACATAAATAAAAACGTCCACTCGAAACTGGTTGCTTAGGAGTGGTAGCTCAAATGGATGAGCAAATCTTTGGCTGAGGAATCTTTGGCGGTCGCCTTATCAAAGGCATGTACGGCATGACGAAGTAATGGCAGAGAATTAGCTACTTTGCGGTTGGTAACTCACAGCGAAATACTCATGTATCGAGTTTTACGTACAATACTGCAGTTTGACATTGCTTCACGCTTCAACATTGCCCTTCCAACTCAAAACAAGCTGCAACTATGCTTACTTTCGAACTTAGACCACCGCATGTTCCTAAGCTTAATAGGCAAACACATTGCCACTGCAGCATCGTGAGTATACAGTTAAGCATCTATTCAGGCAACCTACCTAGTACGGCCAAAAATTCACACAGACGCACTTGCTGTAAGTAGCATTAACGACTGTAGATTATCTTAGAGTGTCTCTTTTTGTAATGTCTTTTTATAAACTATTAATAATGAAGAAGGTGCACATTTTCTTTGATGATCACCGATACGGTTAATTGTTTATTGGTATAATCCCTGTTATATACAATGAATGCGTTGTCGTATGCCAATGGCGGACTGTTGTCATCATCATCGCTTCATATAATCTTTCTTATTTTTATATTTCAATATTTTCCGCTGATATCAACTCTATAAATAGAGTGCAGTGCCTGCAGCCCATGATAATCATAGGAGTTCACACGACTTAACTATATCGTGCTATTCGTTCCGTAGTTTGTTTTCTATTGTTTTTGTCGACGGCCAAGTGGCATCTCAGTTTTCACAATTGTCTCTATATTTCTCAATCGCCATTGCTACATATCTGCGACGAGTTTGATTTTATTTTTGTTGGACACAGTTTTTCTGTCTATTTATGAAGTTTTATTTATTTATTTATGAAGTTTATGCATTATGTGTTTTTATAATAATGTAAAAAATGATATAAAACTACAAACATAAGATATAAAAATTCAAATGGAAGGACCTCTGCTCCTTTTGGCACACGCACAAACATTGTCTGTTGCAAACGCTTCAGGCTCTTTCGAATGGGAGGATGTAACGGAAAGTGGGAACGCGCGCTAAAGGAGCGGTAAAGATGGATACCGAGATCAGGATTCAGTCAAAAACGATAACAACAACTCCAGCAGAACCAGTATGTAGGAAACAGAGTTAGACTGGATAACCTCCTTCGTCGTGCGATGATCCGATCCCGTATGCAACCAGAGAAAAATTATAACCACAGTTGACTCTATCTAACAATAATAATCACATCCACCATCCGATATTGAAGCCCGATCGTTTGCCTGCTCCCGCTTTGACAACCCACGCAGGCACCCCTAGCAACGACGCCAAGTACCATGTGTTGCCAAGGTGGAAGAGCAAATTTACTTCTACCCCTAGCCAATAAATGTAAAGTGCGTTTGACGTACATAGGCACGTTACATACGGCACAACACACCTTATAGAAGTTTAAGACGTTTGCCGCAGGAAGTTTGTGTGTGTGTGACAAAGAGAACGAAGGTCTTTTCATTTGCATTTTTATAGCTTGTTTTTGTAGTTTTATATTAGGTATTAAATGTAATTTTTTGTTGTTTTATTTTTATGTTATTGGTTGCTGTTGTATTGTGTGTTACTGGTAGTGCCACACGTTAACGACAGCTTCTTAAGCACGTTCACCGCGAATACGACGAGCCAGCTGGATGTCTTTTGGCATAATTGTGACACGCTTGGCGTGGATGGCGCACAAGTTTGTGTCTTCGAAGAGACCGACAAGATAAGCCTCAGAGGCCTCCTGAAGAGCGCCAATAGCCGCTGACTGGAAACGGAGATCAGTCTTGAAATCCTGGGCAATCTCACGGACCAGACGCTGGAACGGCAGTTTGCGAATCAACAACTCCGTTGATTTCTGATAACGACGGATTTCACGAAGAGCCACAGTACCTGAATTTGCACGCATAGAACAGATAGGAAACAGTGTTAATACGTAAATATATGGAAAGTGCTTACATTTGATTTGGCCTATAAAGTCAAATGATACGATAATAGGAGACAGGGTATTGCTCAAGCGGGAAAGAAATACAAAGATGTAGCTTTTTAAATAATGGTGGAGCACCCGTATGTTCTCCTGCACATAACACCTATGTTTTTGTGTACACGCACTATTTTATTTCTATGTTACTTTTATCTCATTTATAGGGATATTGACACACTGTTGCTACTGAAGATGTAGTTCCATGAAACGGCCTCAAACTGAGCTAAAAATTGCTAAGGTATTGTTCTAGACTAAATAAAAACATAAGTTGCGTCTACCTTCGCCATCTATAAGCCTAAAATGGCATCCTGATGGAGTCTCTTATGGAACGCAAATGACGGGAGACGCTCGTTAATGTCAAGATTTGCCCGCCGCTCACACCGTACGTACAGAACAACTCAACACTTAAAGCTGACGTCTTACGTCCTCATAATAGACGTTTACGTTTAAGTAGTAGTTTAAAACTTGCTTAATATGTTTCTATAACCCATTGCACAAACTTTGAAACATTTTCTTTAATAGAAGAGAAAGTTTGAATTTTTTTCTCGCCGAGTTCAAAACCAAACCAAATTCCATGTCTTTAAGCGAATCCTGTCTACAAGAATTACTTGGCAAAAACCGCGAGAACTTGTTTAATAGAGTTGTTTAATAACTCTACGACCAAACACCCCCCAGATTCGCAAGTGAAAAAAAAAAAGATTTTGATAAGTATCTTTACCTGGCCTATAACGATGGGGTTTCTTCACGCCACCGGTGGACGGCGCTGATTTACGGGCAGCCTTGGTGGCAAGCTGCTTGCGAGGAGCTTTTCCTCCAGTTGACTTACGGGCTGTCTGCTTAGTACGAGCCATGGTTAGTTTTTCCTTTGGTCGTTACGATTCGGTGAACTGAAATATCATTTGGGAAAGCAACAATGGAAGAAACGAAATTCGTCAAGCAAATCTGCTATGCATTCATCAATTAGTTAAATATGTGTAAGTTATTACTACATGCGTATAGACACTTGACAGCTTCGTCAGATACAAGTGATTGCTCATCGTTGTAGAACGGTGTATATATATATATATATATATATCTATGTAAGCGGAGAGTAAACTCCAGATAATTCTCCTCACCACCGCCTTTGAGAGGATTTTGAAAACAATTCCAATTTTGTGGGAGAGGGCAAGAAGCAGAAATCACAAAGTGAGCTTAGTGGCCGCCCTTATCGCTTCTTGCTGTTCATGGTCGGTTATCGGCCGCTCCATTGCTTGCAGCAGTTGTAACACAGCTCAGTGCTGCCGTCGCGACTGCCACCTTCTGCTTGGACATGTCAACACAGAGGGGGAGAGTAAAAGTAAACGCAACACCGAACTATTTCCGAAACAACGAATAAAAGAAGGCTAAAAGCAGCACCATTAGACCAACAACTAAGCCTAATACTACAACGGGCTTAGCAAACAGCACCGAACAGGAAATAGTGGTAATGGAGAACTTATTACCACAGTTACTTCTAAATCTATGACATATTTTTGTTTGGTATAACGTTTCACTATTCGTATACGAATAGTAGATCAAATCTACGAAATTGCTACGAAAATTTATAATTAAATGTCTAGGATAAACTTGACAACGATTATCGAATATCTCACTACTTTTCCACTACGTTACAAGGCATACAACATATCATTTATCCGATGTGTACTCGGTCAAATTTCCGTACTGCACTACCGAAATCAAGAAAAACAATTAATGCTACTTAGAAATAGGTACTTTAGATATATATGATGGCTTCGAGGAACACGAAATGAGGAGAGGGCTTGTGTTAGAAAGCCTGGTAAGATGGCAGGAAAAAATGCATTTGGTTCATACCCAATTCCCAGCACAATGATAACGGATTCTCAGGAAATTACGGTGATGCTGAATGACTCATAGCCACCATAAACAACGTCACTATCATCATAGACTACTCTTCTAGTTTCTGCCACCGAAAAGCTTCAGTCACCTCTCGACATACCATATGCAAATGAATACCAACAAAGCTCAACCAAATGAGCCGATCCGGTCTTGAATCTATCACCGATGAAGCGTAAAGAATATTTCTTCATAAACGCATACATTTACTAAAGCTACTCTACAGTTACCCTTCAGCGTCACGCTAGCATAACACGATCGCCATTTATCGATACGATGGAGTCGTTTAATATTTCTAAGTATGTACGAACGGTCGCGAAGTCACCGCCACTTAATGCAGAGCGTAGCTTACAATTTGCCTATTTATATTATCGCTTTGGTGAACAATGTTACTATTATTATTGTTATTAGAAGATGTATCAGCAAAGAAAGAGCCGAACCAATTTTGACAAGAAATGACACGTCTAATCTTGTCATGGAGATGGTCGAAGGTGGTAGCTGACTGGGCTATTAATAGACTAAGTAAATGGTGCTAAAAATTGAAAAGACAACTTCAGAATTTTTGCGTTTGTGTCATTGATTTAGGCGGCATTGTTTGGCCATTAGGTAGAATTAGGATCATCAGAAAGCTGATAATACTTGCCAGATCATATATATCGAGCCCAAAAAAGCCGAAAAACGAGGTAGATATTATGATTAGAATATGCTTCACCACAAAAACCGAAAATGCAACCGCAGGTCCGTTTCGACTGTGAGCATATCACCGAAACTACTTTCTATCCAAACGACGGTGGTGAACTCCTGAGATAGAACACGACTGAGCACGCCAATGCACGTGCGTACAGTTTAATCGAACAACTAGCGACCTCAAATTCGCATATGCCAAATGACCGCCATCACTAGAACTTGCTGGGATAATTCGTAATCCGATTCGATAACACGCTCGACTTTTTTTGTTCACACAGGGAAGCCAGATATCCTCGCGGGGCTTGAGCTATGAAACATTTTCAACGTTGAACTCACTAACGTTGAACGAATCTGCCGATTGCCAATCACAACACTAGGACCCACAATAAAACACTCACCGTCGAAACAGGCAAATTTTGATTACAAACGGGTTAAAATTCGCAAGTTAACACACACACACACACACAGACTCTGGTCGAGAGTCAATCGCAAATATAAAGTAACTGCTACTGTTCGTGATTCTTGGTGTTTGTCCTGATGATGCTGCCTGCATGGGCTGGGATGTACACAGTGTGTGACGCCAGGCCGAAACACGAACGCTGATTGGCAGTTAGAAGCCGATTGCTGATTGGTCGAAACCAGTGACGATGATTGGCTATTTGAAACGTGAGCGGCGTGGCGCGAACTTTTGACTTTCTCGACGCGGACATTCATGATTTTTCTAGCCGAACGGTAAGAAAACAACCGACGATAAGGAAAACAACGCGTGTCTCCGACTATTAACAAGATTCTGTCATTATCAAAGTCGTTTTCCTTCGTTAGCTGCTTATATCCAACTAGTCCATCCTCGATTCTCAGTGGTGTTTCATAACTCGTACATATTTGAATGACCATAAATCACTTCATTTTTATGTGTGTTTCAGTGTTCCGTCTATTAAAGGGTCTCTACTTGTGCTAAACGTATGCATATGTAGTTTAACCACAATTAAAAGCATTTGTTAAAGTCTCTGAAACACTAGAGTTTTCATGGAATGAGCGTTTTCAGAGCTAAGCGATTTCACTTGAAGGAAGTGACAGAGAGACCCTGTGCGTGCCATGGGACTTTTTCAACACTCAATCATTTAATGAAATATGCTGTTTTCTCGGTGTTGAAATGGCATCTTAGCTAATGAAATTTCAGGTTCTCTATTTAGAAATAGAGTCTTTCAACTAATCTAAATGCACCCGTCATAGCGTGGCGGGTAACATGTCTGTCTACTTAACGTAGAGACACGTGTAGTAGAAACGTTGTAGTAGGTTTGGACCCGGTCGTAGGCACACTATTTCGTTTCGGACTGGTAAGGCTCAGTTGTTTGAAACTATACTTAATGGCTAAGAAATGGACGTTGTCCATGAAAATCAATTAATTCAAATAGTACGTAGGATAATTGGAATGAGCTTTGTCAGTTCGATTTTTCATTTCATTTCATTTTCGGGTCAAATCTTGCGCCCTTTCCATGGAACGCACCGATACAAACTATGCACTTGCAAATCTATTAGTTATATAAATTACTACACTTGCCTTCCCCTTCATTTTCAAGACAATCAAAGCCTTAGTTTATCCCGTAGATCACCCCCCTAACCATTTTAGCTAGCTTGCTCTTTAAGTTGCGTGTCCTGAGCGGTTGGTCTGACTTTCGACTTAAGAAAACTGTTTATGACAGTAGTTCAAAAAGAAATTCGTGTTTTGATTAATTATGCAGGTATAACTAGCTTTAACCGTAAACGTCTGCGCATCTGCTAATCGAAAGCACAAAATTACAGGTGATTTTTCTTCTAAATAGTCTTGTTGACGTTCCGATTACGCGAAATACGAATTCGTACCGGGACCCCCTCCAGCAGGTTGTCTTTGTTAGCTGATTTTCTCCGCGACCAAACACTCACTAACAGGTTTTATCATATATTTAGAAGGCCAGTAGATGGCAACCAAACTAGGAATGACGTGATCAGTAAACACCGGTAGACCGCACATCTTATGTTACAAGTTATGTGTTAATGTCAAAAAATACATTTCTGGGCACATGACTCCAAAACCCTCATTTTAACAGTGTGCTATATCTACTGTAATAATATATACTAAAAATCTATTGTAAATAATATATATATATATATACCTGCATATTTATATATGCTGGGATTGGCTGTGATAAAAGAATACTAATACCAATGGTAGTGTTACAGGTATGACCATCTGTATACTATTTCTACGATAATTTTAAGCTCGCAAACTTTCAAGTGAAGAAATAGCTTTAGCAAACAGCTACTTACAGTAACACGTTACAATCCACTAGAATATTGACGTCAATGACTTTCATGAACGTAGGGTGACCTGGCGCGCAATCTTGGTTGAATATTTTCCATCAATTCACCCATCCGACAGCATCGAGTAGCATCGCTATCCATTGTATGTAGCCAAACATTACGCCATAGCTAGAGGCCAATGACCGACTAAGTTAACTCACTTCCTGGTTTGTTCGCCCTATCGCGCACACCCCGCTAGTCACCTATAATACTACTACAGCGTATGGCCATAAATGAATTGGAGTAGGATAATCAGCTCAGCAGCAATGTATAGCGTTCGATCAACGCTACTTGTCTCTTCGTCAGGCATCCAACAGATATATAATGCAACACCAAATATAGAGGCCGAACACCGAAGCTTGAAGGTCATTTGGATCATTAGTACAAATCAGGTTAAATTCGATATATAATGTTAAGATAAATGTAACGAGTTCCTTGTATGCACGTTGCGCATCATATGAAAGCCATCGCGGAATCAATAATACGTGTATTTTCAAGAATTGATTTTATTTATTTCGTATGCCCTAACTGGTCGCGTGAGTCTCGCGACGTCCGCCGACTGGACTGAGACATTGACGCTGGACAAATTTGGCATTTAACTGTAGCAGACGATGAATAGGCTTCAATGTTACTGCTATTACTTCAACATATCTCAGCAGCCGCAGCGACAGAAACAGTCGGTTTCTGAAATTAATTTGGTGTTTTGAAATATATGAACATAGTTTATCAACTTACGATAAACTGACCATCACTCAAAGCAAGCCACTCAAAATCTATTTCTATAGTAGCAATAAGCTAGGGATAGTTGATTACGGTCCTCATTCTCTGGACGAGCGAATTTTGTCCTCTAAGCGTGTACCACGCGCGGTAAGATATGTAAAATAGACCTCAATAAGTACATACATGCCGTGCCCAATCGTTAAATCGAAGAACCAAAAATCAGTATGTAAGTGAAATCAATAACACACATATTCAGCAAACGCAATTCAACTCTTTTTCATTTACTGTGTTACCTAGCTGTTTATCTACGTCTATACCTTTTAATCAAGCCCAATTCGCAGTATTACTCCTTTATCGTCCACTTTATACAATGTCACAGCGTAGTCCTTCCATGACTATAGTTAAGCGAAGAGATTTCTCTGAGCACCCCATTACGCGAATAATCCGGTGACGCTCTTGTTACTTGAAACGCCTGCTCCTGTCATGGGCCAAGTTCGTCTTTATGGTAAATCTGAATGAAAAATGCAATATTGTTACACTTCAAGTCTGAAAACTACCCGTACTCAAACCTGTTCTAATGACCTCTTAAGCTTGATCGAATAAACAAGCATGGCACACAGAGAACTGGCCTGGGCTTTGTTTAATCTGTTTCGGATCTGCGTCATTAACAAAGAACAAAGAAGGTCACAAAAATTAAAGCTTAAAAACTCACGACTTGTATGTATCGGCCGTCTGCGGTTATGATTTCTGTACGATGCACTTCGGCGGAAAAACGATGTGCCAAAAGGATCAATTTGTGAGAACGCCGTGAATTACTAATCTAAGTCGTATTATAAATACCGCGATGCCTATTGGGTACTCTATCCAGACATACACACGCACAAATCTGTCTGAAATTGTAATCATCCGTGAAAAATATAGCGGTTAACAGTAGTCCATATCGTCATATGTTCAATATTGCTTCGAAGTCGAGCAGTTCTTTTTTGGCTACTGCGACACAAGATGCCATTTCTATCAATACGGTAACCTCATGATAAGTTCGTCTCAGTTAAGAGAAAACCATGGCACAAGCTGGGGAATCCAGATCTCCACGAAGTCCTATAAGCCCCGATGGCAAGGTAATTCTCATTACTTTTCTAATTTGTTACGCAGCTTTTAAATGCTTTTGTACATACTGTTATAGTTTCTTGTGTCTTCGCGCAAAACGGTACACCAGCACACGGAGACGGGCTCCGAAACAACGTTCTGTTTTGCAGCGTATACATAGAACCAAACAATATTTTTAAAAAACTACAGTTGGACAAAGTCGATCGAGTGTATTCAACATAATTACACTATGTTGCCAGTCTTTGCGACGGGGCAATAAGAGCGATCTATTTTTTCCAAGCTTAAGGACACGTAAGGTGGCTAAAGTTTGAAACCGGACAAGGAAAATGTGCTTCGTGCTAAGAGCCGACCGCTAGAGGCAATGCATAATGACAATGCCGGTCGAAAAAAGTTGAGAACTTCAAAAGCACGTAAATACGTATACGGGTTCCCGATTGCAGGAATAATACCTGTAAGTTTAAAAAATTTTGTAGGCGCCTCGGGGCAGAGATGCAATGGTACAGCTGGTTATGGCTCTCGACGAAGACAGCGGATGTCCTGGCGAACGCTTAATTCGCACGACATCTGCTTTACTAAAAACTCACCTCGAAAAATGGGAAAAAGAACGTGGTTCTGCCTGCAGACCTGAAGATTGCGCGATGACTCCGTTAGAATTTTTCTGCCACGTTCAAGCAAAGAATGCTGCTAGCGAGATTAGCGTAAGGTAATTCGTTACTGCGATGACGTAGACGTAATGTTTATGTTGATTAGACATTCTAGTTACGGCTGCGTGCTTTCGTCATAGTCTTTCTGATCATGTTCATGCCACTTGTATTGTAGTGATATAAACCTTCAATCGATTGCGTCGTACCTGTTGATTATCTTGCGCAATGAATTGTGACGAGTGAAAAGCCATTGAAACAATCATTTTACATAATAGGTGAGGTGTTTGAAACAAACAAGTGAGTTATCACAACATGCTAGTCAGTTAATCAAATTCTACTTTATACATAGATAGACACGTAATAATGTATATAAAAAATAAGAAAGTATGAAATATAGTGATAATGTTGTTGAGAATTTAAAAGACTTTTGGAGTTAACAAGTCAGGTGCCTCAAAAATCATTTACCATATCGATATCCAGAAATTGCATATCGTTAAATGAACGTTATACGTTTACGCCCTGATACCCTGATATCTATCTTGAAAGTATTCTCTTCAAGAACGAAATATAAAACGTCGATGCATAAGAGCTCCAGAATAACCAGAGTAATTGAGGATACGGGACAATACGTTTCTTCGAACAAACTTATATAAACGCCTTACTGTCTTCACTGAATTGCAGAATCACAGAGATGAACTTAACCTATCTTCATATACGGGAGCTTCTGCAAAATCTCTTCGCTCTTGTAACCTTCATTCGGCCAAAATCGGTTGAAAGCGCTCATTTTTTTTGCAATAATTATATTCAGGTAACTACCTAGAATTGAATATTCGCTGTTATTGATTGAGACGCGATATTGCTTGGCCCGATACCTTGTAAGTTTTTAATTTTTGTGTGGTCGTTAGAGAGCACAAAGCTTGTGCTCCCTAACTATCGATCCATAAAGAACGTTTGCTTTGTTACTGCATGCCTGCTAAATAATTGCCACATGTGATGTCGTTTTGCACCAAATCAAAGGGCCAAAAATAACATTTGTGTAATGTAATTACTAGGTCATCCGCACCAGGGCAGAAGACAAAAACCTATCAAAACCATTCGATTTTTTTTATTTAGCGCATCCTCTCACTTAGATATATAGATTATATATATATATATCTATATATATAATATCCAAAATGTATATAACGTCGCTGTTGTCTTTTCAAACATTTAAATCAGAACTAATTTCTGAGGGCCAGTTATTTTGTACGGATTAGTTACTAAATTCTTGATTTGCTCTTTGTTTTGTTCCGATTAAGGACTTATATATGGCCTTTGCAAAGGTGCAAGTGCCATCAGATTCAATATCAAAGAACTCAGTATAACGATCATTATTCCTTATCACTGACACTCCAGGAAATGCCCCTTTTTCATGCCTGTTTAGCTAAAGCCATAGTCGATTGCAGCCCAACCCACTCAGTTTTCTAGATGGCTAGTGGAAAATCCAGCTTGCATGGGCAATCACAACGATGCACCCGAAATGGCGGGCGTTTGCCTGATCGCTTTAAATCCAGGTCTGAACTCAAAAGCTAAATCGGCGATTATATCGAAGCTAAAATTGCAACACCCGTGGCTTGTTCACAGAAAATTGTTATTTTAATCTTATTAACCATATTGCGGATATATTGATCATATCGACAAATTTTGGGTTTTCAAGCGTTCGCATTTATTTTACTGTTTGCCTAGTTTCAAAGACCGTTTAAACTGTAAGGCGACAGATACCCTTAAAAGCTCTTAACCCTAAATCAAAAACTAAGCCATAAAAATGCTGTTACATACAATTCACTTCGACCTCTAAGTTATTCACGTTGTTGGTTTTTTTTCACAAAAAAAAAACATTTTGTTTATTTTGCTGGGATTATAGCAACAAATAAATCTCCCGAAGGCTTTTATCCTTTTTTTTTCTACTTTTATTTATTTTTATTCTACTTTACCAAAAATAGAGCGAACTGCTAAGAACTGCTAAGAACGTTCGCGAATGATGGGCAAAAGTAATGATACATTCGAGTTCGAGAAGTCTAGTGTGAGAATATTGAGTACATATGAAATCCGGATTTCTTGTTGACGTTTTCTTAAGCATTTTGTAGCCTTTCTTCCTAATGCCTAATGCAACTGCAGGTAATTAGGTCTTTTTTGTATGAAAACCGTTACCTGGAGGTTTGATATGTATCCCGGCACCGTTCTGCCTAGTAATCCATCACCAAATCCGTGTTGTTCGTTACGGAGCGACACGAAAGGTCATGAGCATTGAGGCCCCTAATATTCGATACAGTTGCATAGATGTAAGATATTGATCGATATCTTATTTGCGATTATTTCTAGATCCATTGACGAGTTGTTAGTCATTCGACGCGCTGCACCTTGTATATGCCGCATGCTACCCAATCAGGTTGGGTGGCATGCTGCATGTCCGATATCCCATGTTTGGACTTAGCAAACCCAATTGAGAAGCTGATATCTTCCCGCTGTGTACAACACGAACATTCCAAGGTTTTTTGGTAGTCATTCAATATCAACAGAAGCTGAAGTGCGAACATGCGTTCTTCATCGAAAACCTTCTTATCTTGGGGGAGTCCCAAATCTTTGGACTCAGTCTAGAATCGACAATCCGTTTAGCACACTATAAAATCACGATAAGCTTATCGAGGAGAGAAAGCGCATTCAAATTAGTTTGTGTTCTTTGTTTTATTTTTTCAAAAAGATCTCTACGTTTTCAGCTTCGACAAACCGACTTCATGTACGTAGTCAGCTATGTTTCGTGAATCTAATGTGGTTCTCAAAATATCTTATCACAAATAAGACCATCTATTGCGCAGGTTCTCGTGCCTATTGTTCAAGATATTGAAAACAAGTTAGCCCAGTTCGACAAAGCACCACCGATTGACTGGGACGCAGCTGTAAAAAGGCTGAACAGTTACGAAAGGCAATACCATACTGCCATCGAAACTGCAGTAGCATGCACAAGGACGACATCAGGAGTTAAAAGGAGAGATCCAAATCGAGAATCTGACGATATTCCATTCAACTATTACGTGCCACTTTTAAATGATTTTGATGTTGGGAAAATTCTTGGCAGAGGAAGCTTTGGAGCGGTTTACGAGGCAGTACGTATTTTTTTTATCCTTATCTGTAAATAGTTACAAGTCCTACAATTACTTGAATGTGTAATTGTTTTGGGATATAGAACCTAGTTGACCAAAAAAGCGTAGCAAAAGGAGGTTCGTTTTATGGCCTACAGTGACTAAGTGTTAGACAGTAAAGTTTGGTCAGCCGGTTTTAGTGCACGAGTGCTTTGTTCAAAGGAACAACTCATGCTGACGTTTTGAAGATCTGGCTGACTTTTCGGAGGTGCAAACATGGTATCGCAATTCTAGAAGTTGTGAACAGAGAAACTCGAAACTTCTTCATAGCCGGTGCCAAGAAAAAAGAGCGAGAGAGAGAGAGTGAGAGAGTCTGCCCGGGCATGTTTTAGCGGGGCAGATAGAAACGAGTTGGAAGCGCACATGATGAATGAATGGTTAATTGGCAGACTGCTTTCCGAAAGTGTAAACAGAGGTGGCACCTGAGCCTCACGGTGTCACTTTGCGGTGTCTGTCCACTTCTTAGCAATTTTCAATTGAAATCAAATCGGGCTGAGTATTATATGGTTAGCGTAGGCGATAAAATAGCCTGTGGAAATTTTGCAAGTGCTTTTTTCTTTTAGTTATAATGGGTCCAGTTGTTTGTTAAACGAAAGACTGGGCACTGAAGCCGTACTACAGCCGTTTGTGGAGCAAGCCTGTCGGATACTCTACTTGTTACTTGCTTTAGGTGTAGGCTCGAAAAAATGAAGTGCCTCGAGCCAGCGTCTTCGATGGGCATCAAGTCGATACTAAGTGCGAATTCGGTGCCCGGTGTAGTGCACAGAGAAAAAGGAACTAGAGCACTAGTGTGACAGCTGATGTCGACTAATAAGAGTCAGAAAATAGAAACAAATCAAAAAGCCGAAACATATATTTTATTTCTTTTCAGTATTATATACCTTGCACAAGACAATACTTAAAGATAATTTCGTTATGCTTTTGCCGTTACCAATAATAATACCCAGGTCGTTTTGTCTTACGTACCTGTAGATGAATCGTAGTTCAATCTGATTTGTTAGGACATACATGGATAAGAGTTCCCATTTTCTTCATTTTTCCCCTTATTTTCTTCGCTTTTTCCCTTATTTTCTTCGTTTTTGCCCTTATTTTCTTCGTTTTTCCCCTTATTTTTCTTCGTTTTTCCCCTTGTTTTTCTTCGTCTTTAAAACGAAAAAAAACAAGGGGAAAAACGAAAAAAAACAAGGGGAAAAACGAAAAAAAACAAGGGGAAAAACGAAAAAAACAAGGGGAAAAACGAAGAAAAACAAGGGGAAAAACGAAAAAAACAAGGGGAAAAACGAAGAAAAACAAGGGGAAAAACGAAGAAAAACAAGGGG